TGGACAATATTTCCACAGAAGCCAGAGGCACTCTGATTAAAACAGGTTTCAAGTGTAAACTATTGCGTATTTTTCACTCTCGCTCTACTAAAAAAGCGTGCTCTCATAGACTTTTTCTATTTTAACATGAAATCCAGCAAGTAAACATAATGTTCAGAGGGTGATAGATATATCTCAATCATATGCATAAACATCAAGACAATAATAATTAATCATGCACTAACTTCCTCTTCTAAATTTTAGTAACACTACATTACTGAAGACGGCTAGCCAATGCAAACTAGCTGGAATCATATTTGCTCAGTTTGGCTTATCCTTATTAAGGTTAAACAGGAAACGTAATTTATCGATTATCATATGATCTAAGTGAAGCTACGTTGTACCATTTACTGACAGATTTTACAATAAATGGGTTGTTGTGCATAGTTACGATAGATTACCAAATAAAAACTGTCATCTAGCGAAGCAATAAAATATCACTGATACAAGAATTGTTTGATCGTCGTACTTCTTAGATTGGATCGAGGATAAGTTGTGATCAGACCTCTACTAGATCATCACTTGCTTAACGGTTTCAGTCAAAAATTCTCGATGAATGTCGACAGACATAAAGGTTTCATACGAATCCACTTATCAACCTCATTTAACCGCTGGACATATTTACAGAGAATTGTATGTAAAGATAAATTAAGAATTAACGCGGTACACTACGTTTCATTGAGTTATGAATCAGTTTAGTCAATCACATCATTATTCTCCACATAAATGATTGTCTCACTACTCACTATGTAATAAATGTAAAACAATATCTTCGTATACAAATCAGACATAATGATTTCGTTGATTATGATGGACGGTTCTGAATTCATTATGCATACTAAAATCGATGCTGCTAAAATCAGTAGCAATTTAAGACAATCACTGTGTTGATCAGTTGTTGTCATTGGATGATAAAAGTCTTCAGAACTTGACTTTTAACACCCAATGAGAACAAATGGCCGTCACAGTTTAGTTTGGAAAGATGCAGTAAAAAGATATTTCTCTGATAACTTTTCAACGGAGTAGATAACCGGAGGTCATTAATCAATGTCACACCAGTTTAAACTCAAAGTATTAGACTTACATTTGTCAGCAAAATAAATGTCTTGATATACGTAATTTTTAACTAAAGCGTTCATGGAAATATAATATTTTATCATTATTCGTTCATTTGAATAGAGTTTCACAATGGTTTCGTTCAATACAGGATGTTGAGGGTTTGAATCCCACAGGAAGCATCAGTCCCACAAAGATTCCAACCATGCCATATTGATTAGTATCAATTAGCACGAAACCTAGGTTGAGAAGAGTTTCTTGTCGACTGCGACGAACTACCTAATATCTTTAAAAAATGTTATCAAAGTTACTTCTAACATATCAGTAGTTATTCAATATATAAACGATTATTTGTAATGCGATCAATTGTCATATGCAATTCTTGATTTTAATACATAAAATGGAATCCCTAATATATAAGGTAAAGCAATATATAGCAGTAAAGTATGGTACAGGAAGAGCCAATCAAAGTCGTGACAAATATTCTAGTTTTTGTTGAGAATTTAAAAACAAACGACTTTTATCTTTCATCACTTAAATTGGGTGATATTAACATATTTTTTTGTGCTCATAACGTTCAAAATTGTTAGGAGAAGTTCTTTTTGTCATCATGGTATTTAAATTTCAATGTTACACGTAGAGGAAAACTGAAAAAAACCCATGAAAAACTAGCAAACTTTCTAAAGTCACAAACCTGGAGCACGTTTTATTTCTTTAGTGTTACAAAATACTTTTAATTTATACAAGCTCTCTGGTCATCAACTAAAAAGTGAGTTACAGATCATGAGGTCATTTTGAGGGTTGCTCAGGCTTCTTCATGAGCTTAGCCTCAACTGATATTTTTACAACAGTAACTAATTTAAAATAAAGTTATATTCAAGGAGTAATTGTTTCATAGTTCTTAGCAAATAATGATTTATTCCCACTTATAAACAGCTGATGTTTTACGCTGCTTATTAAAACATTGAAATGAGTTTATCTTTGATGATAGTATCATATAATTTCCTCTGAAGGATTCATTGAAGTCATTTTACACAATTAATGAACTTTCGTCGGAAAATATTTGAGATTATAGTCAGTTGATCACTTTTTCTATAATTTTTTACTTATGCTTCACTCCATTGATTGAATTAAATTAAAATATCCAATTCCTGCCTCCAACTATTATCATAAACACAAAATGTTAATGACTTCAGCTAGTTATGGATAATCCTAGAATTTTTCTTGAAGACCAAAATTATAAGCTAAGAATTTTGTGAAAACTTTTTTGGTATTGTCTATTTGAAATTATTGCGTCTCCAATTTGTTAGTGACTTTCATATTTCTGCTAAGAGTCATAATTCACACCGTTCAATTAGTTTATTTTAACTGAATATTGTTAGAAATTGAAATCACATTTGACGAATATTATATTTATCGACTACATTTTATAAATTATTTAACTTATAATTACGTAATATAGAGAACGAAAATCCTAAACTACATATTATATAGATAGCTCACAAACTCTTCTCTTGAAGTAATGGTCTTTATTGCTCTTCTAAAGCTTAAAGAAAAAGATGATATCATAAACACCTACGATTTATTAATTTTCCTAAGAATATTATCAAAAACATGTCTATAAATAGCAATTCCAATGAAAGATATTTGATTATTACCACGGTTTCACCCTACCGCCAAGGTTACTATAAGAGAGTTACAACGGCCCTTAAAAATATACAAAATTAAAGCTCTCTATAAAACAACCAACACTCTAAGAAATGCTTTAGTTATAATAAAAGATAAAATCCCATTTACATCCACACAAATTTGTGTCAACAGACTAGGTTGTGTCGATCGTGATACGTTCGACATAGGAGATTCTTTTCGTGAGGTCTTGAGTGGTACCAAGGAACAAGTAAGTTACAAAGAAACCTAATAATCCTATAGCGTTGGAAAATCTACAAGCTAAATCAACAATAGCAGTACATGCTATCAAAATAATTTAGAAAGGCTTTTTCAATTATAAAGAGAGGCGAGTAGCCGAAGCTTTCCATAAAATGCTAAGTCCTTTTGACCTCAACAGGAAAGAAGACCTGAATATTCATCGAACCTGAAATGTTTATTCAAACAACCATATTTGACCTTATTTATTTTTTGAACAATCTACACACACACACAATATCACCTCCTGTACTTCATACTACAAATTTATGCACTTTTTCTTCTCACCATTATACACAGATAAACACAGTGATGTCCCATACCGAATCATCTTGACCTAAGATAACATAACATATTCAGATGTATTAAGATTTCGTTTGTGCTAAAAATATACTGCTTTGTTTCCTTTGTACTATATAAACTTGTGTTAATTCCATTTTGCAGTGTCTATGGCAAAATTCAAACAACCAATACAAATGAAACAAACTTCATCCCATTGCACAAGTCAGTAGCTACCTGGACTCAATATCTAAGTGGATAACATGATAAGATTTGAACTGAACGGTATTGTGTTTGAATCCCGAAGTGAGCATCAACACTGGAATTCAGGTACATCTAGCTGACGAGTCCAAAATAAGGCGAAACGTGCGTCCTGGATTAGATTGCTGACTACCACCCATTTCTGCTTACAAACTGGTATTAATTTATTCCGATTATTTCCTCAATTACTCTGAAGAAGTGACTTACACCAGGTCGCAAAAAGTCAGAAATACAAATCATTACTCTTTAAGATATCATAAAAACATACTATTGACAACAATAACTGTTTTGAATAAAAAACTTGGATGTTTTACACTGTCAGTGTTGATTACTGCTTGCAACTTAAAAATGCTAATAAGAATGGTTCAATTTAGATACGTTGATTATTAATACAAATTGAAATAACACAAAACACTCCCTTGGAAATGTAATTTCTTATAAACATACATTTCATATATTATTACACATTTTCTTATAACATTTAACTTCAATCATATAAACGTTATTCAAAAACTAATTGATGTGACTAGTCTAAACTGACTTGTGATTGGTCAAGGAGTTTGTGGAGACTTTTTCAATTTATTGATGTTTCTTATTATGGATCGGTTAATGAAGACCAGAAAGTAATAGACAGTATCTAGTAGAAACTAAAACAATTATCATAAATGGAATTTCATGATTACTACAAGTCAAATGAAATTAAAAGTCCCATTCGTTTTGTTCAAACTCAGTTCGCTAAATTTATTATATGCACCGTAAAACCTAAAATCTTTAGGTTTCATCCAGTATAAGGGCTTAAATCATTCCTAAGGAGTTCAAAACTATGAAGAAATAAGCATCTAGTAATCCTTGTCTTTAAAATAATTTGCTTACTAACTAATATTTCAGTTTTTTAAAGGAGTGTTCATCTCCTTACCAAAATGACTAGAAATGCCATGATTCTATGTGTGCGAATTTAATTCCTGTCATTTAAAAAGATTGTTTCTTTGTTTTCATCTAAAGCATAGTAATTTAAGTTACTACTCAGCAAAATGTAGTCATTCCAAGTTTCTCATTCTATATATATATATATATTACTGCAACCAATTTGTCACTGTGATCATTAATTTCTTGGAAAAAAGAAATTTAAGAAGGATACTCTTAGTGGAACAGGACGTACAACTTTTCTATGTATATTATTTGTTATTGAGTGAATTATTTTTTCTAATCAAGAGATAGTTTAAGAACAAAAGGTTTTATAAATTAAATAAATAAATATGTTAAAACATCTGTCATCTTTTCTCAAACTAACAAGAGACAAATCAACTTAAAGAAGAAAAATATTGTGAACTCAATTTAACCAATAACAATATTGATGGTTGCTAATGACTACGCGTATAGTCGCGATATAAAAAAAAATTAATTTTTAACAACCGTTATGAATAGATTATAGTTGAAATTGTACCAACCAACTAGAAAATAATTTGAAAATCAATTTCAACAGTTACGGAATTGTGGAATTCGGTAAGTGTAACTACATTTTTTTACATACACACTTTTATGTACATACTGTTGTTTAAGACGGCTCCGTCTGGTGATTATTATGCATGTGGTGAATATATGAATGGTTATATACAACCGCTGTCATGATAATTGGTTTTAACTAAGCAGAGTATCAGATTGATTGTATGTTACATCAGTTACAATGAATCTTCATATGAACAAAATGATAAAACTTATGGCTTTTTAATCATTTAACTGATTCTTTAGTCTAATTTAAATTTTCTCAAGTTATAATCAACTAGAAACTCTGTTTTTTAAATAGTCGTAAGTAATTTCATTTGTTTAATCTTGTATTACTTGAGGATTCTGAGCCGAAATTCTCATATTAGTAGAGCTTTATTTATAAACATCTAGTGGTGGATAATCTCATACGGTGATAAATCTGGAAGCCATATAACTTAATCACTGACCCCTATTCATAACTTTTAAACGTAACTACCATTCCAGGCAATAACAGTGACACCGGATAGGTTAACTACTTTGAAAAGGTATATTGTATATGATAAAGTTTATTTTGTCAACAAATACAGTTAGAAGTTATTCCACTATCCAGAAACAACACTCTAATCTACATGTGGTATGACTTTTGTATTATCGTCTAATCTGATTTAATTTTAATTGAGATAATGTATGACTGAAATAGGAATAACCTATCGACTATCAATTTCACTGTGAATAAGTTGTAACTCCGTACGATTAGTACCTAAACGTTTACAAATCTAATTTCGAATTCAATTACTGATCTTATATAAATCAGTGATCTTAAACTTAATTCAAGTCTAAAGATTTCTAATTTTATTTCAATGTATTTTGATCAAGCTTACAAGTTGCACACCCATTGCATACCATTGAATAGAGTTATTATATTCATTTTTATATAGATAAATCATTAACAAGAAACACGATAGGACCTATTAGGGAAGGAGAACTATAATACAAGAATTCGATTATTTAATGAAATATATTAAAATGCTTTTCTATTTACAATAACATTTCAATAGTTATCTGAAATGATGTACAAATTTTATTAATATGCAACTATTAATTTTTATTGTCGTCATTTAAGAGTAACTTTACTTATTGATTAGTAATAAGTATATATTGTGTCCTGTTAATGAAAATGTCCTGTCTAATACTAAGACATAAGGTGAACGAATACTAACTGTCACTATATTTTCAAACGTCTCATGGAATTACATAACAGTCATGGAATTCCAGTAATCAGTACCGAATTTCATTTTTAAACTGAATGGGTTCTTTTGTTGTTGTTAATATAACAATTAATGGTTTTTGGATTTCAGTAAATTCATCTGTTTAGATAGAATTAACAATCAGTAATTATTTAGATAAGTTGTTTGGTAGAATTCAAACCTCTAAAGACTGTTTTAATCAAGAAATGATACGATTTGCATGAACATAATGAATTTGGAAAGATGGATTGAGAATAGTTTCAAAGAAGAGAACAACTGTTAACCTAAGCATTAAAATTTTCCAATTAGAAAGTAGTAATTCTATATCAGCCATTGATCACAATTCCAGCTATTCTGTACTAACAATTATTGAAAGTACATCAAATGAACTTGTATTCAGATTAAGATTAAATTTAAAAAATTCATCATTGAGTAGTTTTCTATTAAGAAAATCACTAGTTTCTATATATATATATATATATATATATATATATATATATATATATATATATATATATATATATATATATATATATATATATACATTCCCAATAAAGTCCTAATGAATTTATTAAATGTCACTGTTATGTTCTTATGCCCTATGAATATATACGAACAGCTTAGAGTCACTGTGAACTCTTATTGGGCTTCCGAGATAGTAGCTTCTCGCGTAACCCATCCGGCTCAGTACAGAACATCAATATCAGCCTCCGTTATATGAATCATATCTTTCAGACATATTTGGTTTATATACAAACAAACCAGACCGCATCATACCATAAAATATAAAATAAGATCAGGTCAAAAGTGGCTGTGATTGTGAGATACTGTTACTAATAGATTGCGAATAACTTCAGAATAATAAATCGTATAATATTAGTCGATAGGTCAAATAAAAGCTTATAATAATAGGAATATATATACAATTTAGTTACATAACAATTATACAATGAGAATATATGTGGAATATTAGTCCATAAACAGTTCCTAGAAGTTACCCATAATTTAATCTTCTCTACAATATAACAGTTATAAACGGGAACCTTTTAAAATTTGTTTTAGAATGAAAACAATATACATTTTCGTAAACCTTACTAAAGCTATTGTATTTTTATGTGTAATAACATTTAAACATTGTTTACGAGAACTTAACTTTAGAGTTAAATAGGATTTAATTTCTGAAGGATGTTTGGTAAATTTACAGGAAGTTTAGCTATAATCGCTGATTTACATGAAAATCACATCATTTATCATTAAATGAAGCGGCACCATATACACGATACTGTTTGTCAAATGTATGGAAAAAGAATGATCATCTATTTACATAGCACTTTGAACTTCTAGCTCTGTAATAATTAGTTTTTTTTCATGACGTGTGCTGATCTTAAGACTTTCCGAAAGCATACCGATTACTAGGTACTAACGTATATCTAAATCTTCATAAAGCATTTTATTTAGTTCTGTCAAAACTGTTCATTTTAATATCTTATAGCCTTAGAGAAAACAAAACTGTAGGATCTCTCGTCTGTGTTTTATGTTACTTGTAAATCACCAAGTGTACTTAAAGTCGATTGGCCATTAAGTAATAAACAATTTGATGAATACTAAGTTTTTCATAAAGTTAAGTGAATTATACCGACCAAGTTGTAATGTGATCATTAGTCTAAGTTACTCAATATCATATACACTATGATGGGATGTAAAGTGTTTATGTCTATAAAATTCAACCAGGACTAAGGACTTGTTATACATGACACTGGTCAACACTCAGTGGCCACTCAATTATGAATGCATTTCAGCCCTACAGAAGATTAGATATAGCCCAAATAGATCAATGTAAATGTCTCTGAATGAAGTTGAGTGACACGGAGTATCAATTCTTTCAAGATTACTGGCACACCTTTTTGACAAGTACTGAATAGAACGAAATCATCGGATATGTGTTTGTATTTGTAGCAACTCTGGTATTGTCGTGTGAAATTCTCATGTATTATAAAAGCAATATCCACCGAAGTGATGAATCAGAATAACTACAACATGTAACAGAAATATTTGATCTCAGTGTGATCTATTACCCTCCTTTATTTTTGTTTCGTAAAAGAAATAATCCGAGAATAATAACAACCAGATACATGAAGTCCTCACTTAATTGTCCACAAAAAGCCTTATCAATTGGTTTTAATGACCAAATAAGAATTGCATAACAAAATGACGTCCAATCACTTAACCGAGTGGCTACTTCATGGGCTTAACATACAGTATCCAATCCTCATTCCATACTAAACAATATGATACAATTTACTCCTGAGTAATTAGTCAGTGAATTTACTTGTTTTCACATTGTATGTAAGCGATGAAATGTACAAAATTAGTAAAGCACTTTTAACAAAAGAAAATACTTTATGTTGTAGGGATTAACTAAACCAATATTTCCTTCCAATATAAATTATGCACGATTTCGTTTAATACCGTTGTGAACTTGGTGTTCTTAACAAGTTTATTTTATTTTTTGTTAAAAATTATGTACTGTAGTATATGAATATTTAACCTAAATCTAAAAGAATGTCTGCTGAAAAATTATCCAGAATTGATTCAATTGATGACACTGATAAAACTCGTAAAGGATCACATGATACATCACAAACAGATAGTCGACGTCCATCAATTATTACTCAGTCAAGACGACAAAGTCGTTTTAGTTTTGCATCACGTAGATCATTGTTTGGTGGACATGGTTCACTTATTGGAATGTTACGTGGTGGAGTTAATAAAAATATAAAATATGAGAATACATATAGAATACAACCGAAACCAAATGAAAGAATTAAACAGAAACAAGTTAGTTTTTTTATCAATGACATTTGACAATTGGTTCTAATTATCCATATTAAAGAATGGTGAGTTTGATAAAAATAACTGGCGAGACTGTAATATATGAACGAAACAATCAGATTTAGGGTAACAGGATTTTGGCGCGGAATTCATTTATCCATTTGGCTGAATAAAGTTTTGGCATTTCAGCTTATGTTATTTCGTGGTGAAAACTCTAAATTTAATTCCTAACCCTAACCATCAACTGAAATTATAATCTTAATTCCGCACACTGCTTTAAAACCCTCATTCTCAAGGTCACTTTAGCGTTCCTCAAAGGTCATCCATAAATTATAGTTCACCAAATAACTTTATTGGTGCTCATTTGTAATTATGATTAAAAAATAATTTTAGTTATTTCAACTCGAAAAGTGTATCAGCTTTACTTATTTATTCATATGAATAATGGGACCACTAAACATTATTAACACTCAGTCACTCAGTCATCAGGAATTTTTGTAGGAATAGTTTTAGGTTTCACTGATATTCACCTTCGTTGTTATCAATTCCGAAACATCAATGAGTTATATATTTCAGATTGATTTTACTGTAACTTATATTATTTTGTTATACACAATGTTGATTGCCACACTGATCATGGAGTTTGCAATCATTTGATATATATCATTTACTTTTAAGGCATTTGAGAGTTCACGAATTAAGTATCTGAAGAAAAGTTTTATGTGGTCTTACAAGATAAGTATTGAGATGTTGCTGGTACAGTTATCATCAATACAAATGCAACTTCTCCTGAGCGTTTATAGTGTACAATTAACTGTCTTCGAGAATACACTTGCATTGTGTCAGATACAGGTCATAACCTTAAAGAAGTAATGAATCCTAACTCTCATCAGCTGCATCTAGTTTTCTGCTTTTATCTTGACTGAATACTTAATAATGTGTTTTGATTTGATGCAGTCACCATGGTTTGGCATTTTAGGTAACTTCTATAATAATGCGATTTTAATTCTGTTCGAATTGCTTTTGAAACATATGTATTTAGTTATCAGTATAGGAATTACTCAAAGTAATAATAACTTAGGTTGGTCCATAATCTCGAGATCATTCAGCAGTCTCTTCGAACTTCCATACTGATAACAATGATTATGATGAGGAACTTAAACTATCTTTTTCCCAAAGACATATGAACAATACCAATTGTCTTCTCTCTATGATTGGCATTTCCGTTTACTTGTAATCAAACCAGTGTAACTGTTGTTGTATTTGTAAGAAAGTAAATACCCTTTGTAAAGAATACACAAAGTTACCAAAACTTTTAAGTATACATACTACTTTATCTAATTTTAAATCGGTATTAGTAGAGGGATTCATTTCAAAATTCATATTGAACATTGAATGTGTCAGTTATCTTAACGATAATTTATGAGATGATGAAGATTTGTAGCTCAGGTGGATAATTTGGATGGAGTTTTGTTCTCTGAGCTGGATGGTTTAGTCATGAAGCTTTCATCGTTCTTCTGAACGACATCATCAGCACAACACATCAGGTGTTAATTTATTCTCTTGATAAGCTATGTTTATAGTGCAAGGCAATGTAACATGTTAACTATGATAGTACACATTATATTTTTTCTTTCCCCATTATATAACATTTCTGTTTTACTTAAACTAATCTATTAATAGTTACGAAATTTAATTCAAACAACATTGGATCACACATTGAAAGATGTTATCTATGAACCGTTACAAGCACGTATTTTATCAATGAATTTAGCAAATATGTTAAGAAAAAATGTACGTGAATTAAATACTCCATCAAGGTATAAATTTGTTGTACAAGTTCATATTGGTTCACCGGAACGTAATAGTATATTTATTAGTAGTCAATCTGTATGGAATGTTGAAATGGGTGATACTTATGCATCAGCCATATTTTCAAATTCAAAAATATTCGCTGTTGGTATTATACATGCTGTATATTTTGAATAATAATTGTTGTCATGACAGTTAGAGAAAAATATATATATGTCAAGTGATTATTGAATAATATATTTATCATTATATTTCAATATAAATATCTCGATGGTTGATTGTTATTTATATTAAGATATTCATCTTATCTTATCAGTGACTTAATTAACTGATCAATAGAATTTGGTCACTTCTAGAGGCCTAGACAAATATGAGGACTACTTAGTGGTTATTCAATTGTGAAAAATTATCCAGTTGATCGATTAGTTTGATAGTAATATATGAGACTATTAAACTAGATTATATGTACTCTAATCCACCAGGCAGCATCAGTTCACATAGTACTACAGTTACACCTTTACGATGGGTGTCGACTAATAGGAAACCTAATCTTATGGTTTACTGTCGACTACTTACAAATCCATAACGTAAACTATTTAATATTTTGATGCATAAAATTCTATCGAATTCAGTTGTATTGTCGTTATTTCAAACATTGTGAATGGAGTTCTGATCCTAGCTCGATAATGGGTTTTTTCTCAATGTTCGAGGCAAGTGTTTTTTTATGACTCTCAGTATGTAAAATGTCTAATTACTACGATCTTTGATAGTTAACTCGAACTGTAAAAGAAGAATTTCAATTAGATTCCTTTCATACACTAGTCTTGGATTGAAAAATACTCAAGAATTTAGATCATCTGAGCTATTCTTCACACTGTCTTTATGATTCAATGTCCTTTGCTATTACTTTTTCAAATGAGTAATAATGAGTTACACCATAGTAAAATTTTCACCATAAAATATTTATTCTAGCATCTGAAGGTTGGCTCCCAGATACTAGCCAATACTAGGCGCTTCTTTACGGCATAGATTTTTATCTCATCAGTGACAAATGTGTATAATCTAACCACTCGGTAGTGAACTTTGTTTGGAATAACTTATTATTTTCTAGAAAGTCTATAACATAAAAAATAACGGTTTGAATCATGAGGTAAATAGGAAGTTAATAAATTGATACATGTAATCTTTTATAATAGGTCAGGCGGTTCAGACATCCATTACGTATTCCCAACCATTCCGTATATCAACATCTGTTGTTTAGAGCATAAGTGGTTTGGAAAGATAGGGATGGTCAAATCGGAACGTCGCAGTGATCAAAGTCTAAACCATATAGGAATGTGAAGACTACCCGGTTGGAATCTGTTTGACTATTATAACTGGATGTTGGATGATATGGGTTATTTAGTTATTTAGTTTTATAAATATAATTGAGAACTAAGGTATTTTTCAATAATGTATATGTTTATTGAACCTTCGGAGCTTTCTACCAGGTGATTAATTTAAGAAGATTTCACTTAAAGCGATTTTGTCCTTAGTAGTCAGTAAAATCTATATCTGTAAATAGTAAAGATGATACGTCCTATATTTGCAATGTTAACCATAATCTGAACAACAACCTGGTTGAAGCACGTAGATTCCCATCTATTAAACAGCTTAAAAGTAAAAACTAAATCTAACTAAGCGTTTCACTTCCATCCAGCCGTTAAAAAGAAGTAATAATAATTTCATTTCTTCATGCATTTACAAACAGCTGATTGGTTCCGTAAAGTAGCTACTTAACTAAATGACTATCTATGTTATCATATTATTATTAATATCAAACGATCTAAGATAACTGACGTAGAACCTGGGATAGAAGTTTTGCAGCTAATTGTAATTGTTTACAAAGCCCAGATGAAATTCCACGAGAATACTTGCATATTTATAAATCTAGAATTGTTTCAATGAACACCTCTATGTTACTGTTAGGCTTTAAATTATTTGCGTTCAAGTCTCTGTGATAGCATAAGCGTTGTAAATATACCATCTCAGTAATCTACCTCAGTTTGAAGATCTACTGTCATTATACTTCAAAAGCTTAGAATCGTAGTTCAGACTTTCAGCAACACAACGGCATTACGCAAAACAATATCTTTACTGAAATTATCTAAAGCATGTTTTAAAAGCAAAACGTAAAAAATATACTTAGAAGCTATTTATTTACAAACTGGAGTTCACTGAATAAATTACTCCACTGAAGACAATGTTAGTAGCCTCATAATGTATTGTTGTGAAGTTAGGATTGATTACCAAATCATATCTTCATTACTAAAGAGCTCTTGTTAGGATTCTTTGTAATTATTCTAAGGGGTAAAAAAACCGAAGCATTAAGTATAACATCCATTGAAAACAATTACTAACTTCATCAAGTTTTTGAAAGTTTTTTTAACTCCATGTGAATATTTAGTACAGAACAAAAAAGGAACAAACGGTGACGTTTTGAGAAGTTTGTCGTTGAGCTACTAAGTAGAAATCAATGAACTATTATGTCATACATAGATCTAGTCGCAACCTACCATCCATTGTAATAGACAAATGAAATTTATTTGTTAAAAAACCCTTGAAGAATTGAAAAATATTGCTCGTTATCCCAAGGCTTCCACTTTTTACCAAAATGATATCAAATTAAGATGGGAATTACGCTTAAATTAACCAAGTCTGTAAAAGTATAAGTTTTATTCATTAACAACACTGAAGCCATAATAAATAGTGGTTCTGGAAATTATAAAATGTCAGTGATCTGAACCAAGGAATTGTAAATACGCTGAATCAATAAATTAAAAAGAAGTAACATGATATTTGAAGCACAGTTGGAAAGAAGATGTTTGTTTTACTTCACTAGTAAATGTAAGGGGATCATAAGTGATATCATTTTAAATCTATTTATGAAAATATCTTTGCTTGGTGATATTGTGTATTTCATAAACTAATCTTATCTTTGGTTACTAATGGTTATCAGTATGTGAATGAGTGGTGATTGTAGTATTTTCACAAGTGAATGCATGAGTCGACCTAAGCTAGATCACCACTGAAAGCCTGGAGACACTAGACGGCCGTCTCGTATTGAACTCCTCAGCAGTGCACATCCACGATTCCGTATGCGGGACTCGAACCCAAGAACTTCGGTCTCATAAGTGGACGCTTAACCTTTAGACCGCTGAACCGGCATCCAACGATGTTAATGTCTAACTTTAATCGATCCATGATCTTGCGCAATAGTTAGTTGTGGTAATTATTCTGATTTACAGATAATATATAATGAACTGATAATCCTAAAGGTTTAGCTGAGCAGTTTATCTTTTGATTGACAAAGGTACACGTGAAAACAGAATTGGCAACTGAACTAAAATACTCCAGACGCATAAAACCTCCTTTGAACTATAAACACTATGAATCTAGATTTTAAGAAAGAAGAATGCCTTTGATAATATTAATTGAACATTAAAAGGCCTTATATATTACTAGATTAGATAGTTACATAATCGATCATATTTCTTATCGAAGATGTTTGGATATATCTTATTAGTATACATTTCTATTTTTAAAAAATCAAAAATAACTGCTTTCCTGTTTACGAATAGCTAGAGTTTATTTACACTCATTAACTGTGTTCAGGATACATATTGTAATATAATGAGATAGATCACCATTATTCTAAATTGTGAACGAAGAATAATGTCTCCTAATTATGAACGAAACCTATGAGTCCTAGTTACCTCAACGACTAATCTCCATAACACTTCAGAAATAATCTTTCGATGAAATTTAGTAGGGGATACATGAATTAATAAAATTGTTGCAAAACAACTGGTCAATAACTGTCCTGAAACTTGGCAAGCTATTATCACCTAAAAATACAAATCAGAAGTATATGTTAAGTAGATTATTAGCATTAAGAAATACAATATATTTTACAGACTACATGCCATCATTTTCTGAGAAAACATCAAAAACTTTTTATTTAATAGTATTTCCATCTATATATTTACATCCTAGAAACATTTGTTAGCTTTTCATTGCGTCATTGAATTTGACGTACCTTCAACTAAAGAATTTTCACTGTTAATAATTTCTTTTCGGTTGAACAAGTTAAGAAACTATGGTCAGTATGTAGATAAACGTCGTCAAGAACGTTTGTATTCCATACATATTTCTTTGCACTAACTTGACTTCATGAAAACGTTCACAATTATTTATTAGATTTCATACTGAGTGTTTCAGCTTATATCGTCATCTCTCCCACATGACCAAAACATTATTGTAGCCTAGATCTTGCCACCAAATCAACTGATGAGAAGTATACAAGAATTTAATCCCATCATTTTAACCCTAAATCATTTCTGATACACACTGTAAGTAAATATGTTATTATTCCGAATTCTATCGGTTAATCTTGTTTAGTATTTATTATTCCTTAAGTTTACCAGTTTCTCCTGATTTAACGCCATTTTACTTGGGTGGTATTTTTAAATTTGGTTGTTCACTGTTTATTCATTTTATGGTTAACTTCATTTCTCTTTTTAATCATTGATATTATCTTCGTTACAAAATATGGACTTCCCCACTGAATAACCCTATGTACACTTATTTACTGCCATTATATATATATATATATATATATATATTATGAGGATGAAAGATTATTTTATAGATAACTGGTGGTTATAATGAAAGTGTCGATGAAATTTATAAACGTAATCATATTTGCTGTAATATTAATGATTCCGTTACTAATTAGTATTGTATCTTAGTAAATTTAAACTCAAGTGAAATAACCTCTCTCAGTCCCCTTCCTCTATGACTGATAAACTTCACTACACAAACAGAAAGGTGATTAAAAATCTACGTAGAATAATCTTGGATGTATCAAGTACCTACTGAGATATTAGTTTTAACTGAAATCACTATCTCCTCTGTCAAAAATTAACTTCAAGCCATAATATATTATCAAAAATTGTTTAGCTACTTATCAGTAGTATAAATTCACATGAACAATTGAAAGAACTTTTAACATACCTGACATCTCATTTTGCACTGTATATGGATTTGATAAAAAAGGATGCTTGAAATATTTCTCTGAAACGATTATTAAGCATCAGTTTATGCTTTTTTTAATGAAACGAACATACCTTTCCTTTCT